GCAACACAAATGCCCTCGCTCGAATCTAAGAAGCCACTGATGCAAAGAGCGGAGGACAGCAAAAGGGTTATTTCAAGCCCAGCCGAAGCCAGGATATCGTGGTATGCTGCATCTCCCAATTTGATGATCGTACACTCCCAAGATCCAACAGTCAAAGTGTCAGCAGCTAGGTGACTCAAACAAATTAGCAATACATACACTGCCATAGCTCCACACATGCCCTCGCCCGAACCTAGGAAGCCACTGATGCAAAGAGCGGAGGACAGCAAAAGGGTTATTTCAAGCCCAGCCGAAGCCAGGATATCGTGGTATGCTGCATCTCCCAATTTGATAATCGTACACTCCCAAGATCCAACAGTCATCGTGTCAGCAGCTAGATTACTCAAACAAAATAGCAACACATACACGGCCATAGCTCCACACATGCCCTCGTCCGAACCTAGCAAGTCACTTGGAAGTCACGAGGGAGCCAAGTCCTGCTCGCAGGTTCTCTTGGCTTTCCTTCAGGTGAACACGTCCAGGAATCCAGTATCCGCAGCCGCCGCAGTAGTACTGTACTGTGTAGTATTATAGTAGCAGGAGATCCAGGTTGTACCCATCCGTTGTCCAAACAAAGATTTGTGATTCCGTGAGAGAAGGAGATACCACCGCCGTCGAAGGGTCGAAGGCACTGTCTGCCAGATGTAGGCTGTGAGATAGATGGAGCCACCTACGTGTTCTTAGCCTGCCCGCCCGTGAGGGTCGTGACGAGGCCGCTGTGAGAGTTTTTTGTTTTTTTCTCCCATCATTGGACTATGTTGTCTGCCCCTCTGGCCCCTATCCTCCACTTCTACTAGCTAGACGACCCAACCGGGGTCACATAGGAGGGGGGGGTTGGACCCCCTCCTGCGGTTCATGCCCGAGGTATTTTTATCGCGAGAAGGGTACAGCAATCCCTTCCCTCGCGACTTACGAAGTCGATTATGGTTTACTAACAAACGAGCTTTGCAGCGCGTCGCTTTCATCCTAGACCAGGATTTATTTAGTGAGAAAGAAAATTTCTCTGCCGGGACTCGAACCCATGACCTGACCCTTAGCAGGCTGCGAGGCTACCCACTAGACCACCGGGGCGTAGAGTGTGTGTGTATGTCAAATTTTTGTGGTTTCGTCGCATTCAGGACGGAGTGACGTCAGAACCCGCACTATAGAGGGACTGGAAAGGGACCAAACCTGCACTATAGAGGGGTTTCCCGAATAGTGCGGCACCCGCACTGTAGAGGGTCCAAGTTGTGCCAAGCGATTTCACCCGCACTATAGCGGGCACCCGCACTATAGCGGGCACCCGCACTACATAACCCGCACTATTGCGGGCCCTCGACTGTAACCCCCCGAGATGTCGGAGATTCGTATCGTGCCGAGTACACACTAACACCCCATTTCAAATGCTTTTGAATCGTAAGTACGCGAAACGCCCGCACGATGTATCACCTGACTCTCTCCCCTCCTCTCTCTCCCTCGTCGCTTCACAACGTTGTGTTGGTTCGAACTTTCATCACCGGGGACCACAGCAAAGCCCCAGCTTTTTCATGTTACGAAGCAGATCCGAACGTAGAAAATCCACATCCTTCCGAACTTTGGTACCCCGGATATGTAAAATTTGGTGAAAACTCGAGTATTAACAAAGACAGAGCGACCTTTGAGCGAGACGATCAACCGCTGTTGAGAGTAAGTTCGAAGTTGGTTAGGTTCACGTGCCACCGAGCCAAAACGACGACGAAAACCACTAGTCGCGATACGCGAGCGTTACACTTGTCGGTGTTGACAGGGCAAGAGATCGAGGATACAGAAAAAATAGAGGGAGCGATGGAGCGGTTACATCACTTCCGGAGCCAAGTACAGAATCAAACAGCTCTGTACTTCTCAGATGGGCCGCTCTCTGACAACCATTGCGCCATTCCATCCCCCCCCCCCACCTGGTATTGCCAGATGACACTCCCGTCGGTAACGTCTAGCTTGACCGCCACAAGCGCCCATAGCCCCGTGTTTGTCTCCACCCAGTCTCCCTGGGTCATGCCCGTCAGCACCACGTTTCCGTCCGCTGTCTTGCTGCACGTTAAGATGACTTCGTCCTTCTCGGTCCCGTCCTGCTCCTCGGCGCACGCCAGGCACGAGAAAAGCAAGTGGTGTTAATGGTGTGCAAAATCCATGCCTGGCCATAAAAGGCGTGTCTTCACAGAGCACGCATGCATCTACCTGCGACGTTACGGGTCACGTACCACCATCCCTCCCCTTAGCATACATCCGAGGTACAGTAGTGCAACAATGGCGTCAACACCCACAACGATTGTCTTCGGTTAAGACGGTCGAAGACAAGCACGAACAAGGTGACCTAAAGGCGACTCAGCCAACAACAAACCCCGTTCTTTCTGTCTTGCCTGCCGGCACACCATCTCTCCCCCTCATATCACGCGGAATGTTCCAAGAACTTAAACGATGACCACGGTTGTTCGGTGAATCCAAAGTTCCACTAATGTCCGGCACAGACTGGTAATGGGTAAGTGTCAAAGGCAAGAATTAAATCCTGTCTCGCGTCAAGTACCCTCGAGCCCAGCCCCACGACGACCATTACTAGCCGTTATTCGTTGCCGCCAACCTCCACGAGTGTTTCTCGCAATTCGCCCGCCCCGGTGTTCAGCATCACGCTTGCCCCGCTACCATGGGGCCAAAGCTACCACAAAAATCCCTCCCGTTCAAACGGATGTACCCCCACCCCTCAGGGACAACGTGCGCGAGAAGTATGTCACCTCATACATGCTGCTGTGGCTGGTTTTCTTACCTGCCATCGCCACTCCTCAGTTCCGTCTGAGTCGAACTTTATCGCAAAGAAGTCTCCCAACCCTTCGGAGGGGACCCCGTTGAGTGTGCCGTTATAAAACCCTGCGAACACCACGCCACCGTCGTCCGTCGCAGCGGCATCGGCCAAGGTATCGTCCTCCGTGCTTCCTTCCTTGGAACCCCAGCGGCGAAAAACGTAAATTAGAGAAGTCTGCATACATTTTGCGGCAGGAGTGCGAGCGTTCTCCGCCCTTTTCACAGCAACAACAGCGCTTGGGGGCTTCCCCAAGAGCAGCAGGTTTGCGGTCGGGTATCACAGGGCAGTAGCGGTACACCAGAAATCTAGGAAGCTGTGGATTCGGAAAGGGGAGGAGAGTTTGTCCACGCAACGCCGGAGTGGTCGCAGTGTCGACGTGTGGCGGCGGTAGCGGCGTATGGACAATCGGATCCAGCTTCACAGACGGGACTACGTAAGAGAACGGCCAGTACGTAGAGGCCGAGGGAAGCAGGGTGGGTTAGACGTTCCGGCTTTTAGTGGAGCACAGGCAGGAGCGCTCACCCGCCTCTCAAACTCGCACTCTCTTTTGCTTTGAGAGGAATAACCCTTGCATACGGGGTCAAACACGCTGGTTTTGCAATGTATTTTTAAGAGTATCCATCATTCTGCAAAACAAGCGGGTTAAGAGACCAGGAGTTTGTTTCCTGGAAATCGGAAAGCAGCAATCCGATTTCTTATTGCCGGTAGCTTACGAATTGGCCTTGAAGAGAGATTTTTCTATTCCTTGATTGGTTCCCCAAAGCACACGGCGCCTGCACAAAAAAACAGCAGCCTGACAAGCAGCCGCCCAGCCGGTGTGAAAGAACCTGCTTGTGGATGCACTGGCTGACGCTGTTCCAATAGGCCGCCGCGTGCGTTCAGACGAAACCAACGTACCTGCCAGTACCACAGGACAGCTCCATCGCTGTCCAACTTGCCCGCGGCCATGTCTGTACCTCCCGCGTTGAAGGTTATGCCGTCCAAGCTCCCTTCCGTCGTCCCCGCCAGAAAGAACGACCCCTCGGCATCCGCGGACACTCCGTACACGTAATCATGGCTATAAGACGTCCCGGCCTGACAGGAAACAATTTCAGACCGGCGGTGCGGGCGGTTCCTTGTTCTTAGACACCGACCTTCACGCTCAAAGCGCACTAAATCAAGCCAAAACTAGTTGTGGTAGACGGGGATCACTGACTAGGGAACCCAACCTTGCACAAGATACTCGACAAGCGAATGGAAGGGGGTCCGCGCATCACCACAGCGTAGCAAAGTAGCGAGATAACCCAAAACAACAATTTTCGTGCAACACAGCAGCAGCCAGTCCGACGTACGGCAGATATCAGTCACCAATCGGAGACCGTGCGTGGCACAACGTGCTGTTTCCGTCTTTTTCCCCAAGAACAGCAGTTGGTCGTGTTTGATGGACGAATTATGTCTTCGGCGAATAGTCTAACTCTGGTTTGTACGTGTGTTTCCGTCCCATCAATTCTGGACGCCAGTTTACACCTACTACTTAACTTTCGGTGTAGTCTCACTCACTAGGGTCAGATATTGAGTACCGTTACGTCTTGTGATGACTCCGCCATAAGCTGCTCCCTCAACGCAAAATCTGCACATGCAACAAGTTCGAGAATGCTCCGGGGATGTATTGTTATCCCCACCTATGTTCGAGAATAACCCGGCCTTTGTTCGCCATATATTGCCTGGCCGCCCCCGGGCGCTCTCAAGACAACCCAACTTACGCTTTCCCGCAACTCGTTGCTGCAATAATTTATTGCATGATGGCAAACGAAGAACGAAGAGCACACGACAGCAGCATAAATAACCAACGAGGGTGGTAATCTACTTTCAGTTAGCCCCCGCACTCAAGGAACAGGTTGTAACATAGGCTTCTTGAAGAAGCACTTGTTCTTATGGCCAAGTCCTCAAATATGACATCCTTCGAATTATTAGCCTGAATTTCTTAGGCTATCACCCCCAGGTCCTCAAGGAAGTGCGGGTGTTAACTGTATGCGACACGACTCTCTCCGTTCAAAATGTTCAGAGGCCCAACCTCGTAGGTTCCAGCGACAGCGAAAGAGGACTGTTTTTTGGGTCATTTTTTCTTTTGCGATTCGAGGTAACTTTTCGAAATACATATTTCCCCCTACCCGGGGGGAGGTTGTGTGCCCGGATTTACTTTTCGCGTGGAGCCTTGCTCACACACAGCAAAAAAATATTTCCGGGTAGGAGCTTTTTCCAATCTGTTGTCACACAGAAGGGTTCCTCCCCTACCCACCCCTCCATGTCATGGGATTTGAAGTGCAGCAAGCATCAACGGTATTGCGGAGTAATTCCCTGAGGAAGTGCGGGAGGTGTAACTCCCGATCGAAGGATAAAACGGGGGACAGGACCTTTGTGGCCCCGTTTAGAGGGAACATCGGTCGAACGTCTCGAGGTGGACCAAATCAGTCTGTTTGCGGTCGTCGAGGTGTCATCGCTGTTCTTTACCAGACACATTGGAAAGGTCTTCTCTGCCCTTCTTGGCAACGTGAGACGGACCTTCAGCACTCTCGACTACAAATTCTTCGGCACTGGACGGGTTCGCCAAATCAGCACCGTCAGACAAATCGCCGTCATAGTGCGATGCGTATTGGCGCAGCTGCACGACAATTGGCACGTGCTAAGGGCGAGAGATATTTTGCCTCCGGTTTACTCTCTTGTCTCTCGTTCTACCTGTGGAAGCGTTCTTCTGGTACAAGGCCCAAGATGGACTTTGGCTGGGCAAGATTTCTGTACCGACTGTTCGGGCCGACCACTACATCGTCCGCTTCCTCGACGACCCTGGACCGATCAAGACCGCCCTCTCTGATGTCCATTACTCTACCTTCGGATCTGCCGTCTGAGGTTCATGGCGTCTTCAAGTTCACGGTGGTAGCGCTCTCATGAAAGGACTTCTTCGCAATATTGATATTTCGTGAAACGTGGGGGCAGAGCATTCGCCGCCCGATGATTCGGCACGCGCCGATTAGCCCGCGCGTGTGTGTTCAGGATTCAGTTTGTTTGGGATGCTTGCGTTATTCCGGTTGAAAGGCGTAGATTGCTTTGCGGTTTGCGTTGACCGATTCCGGATTGACATCGCCTCTGGTCTCGTCCGTTTCTTCCGTTTGTACGTACGTGTCGGCTGTTGGTGCCTGCTACAGCAGTGTTAGACCTCGCTTTGGTATTTCTATCCCCTTTTCCCCTCACTCTAACGATCGCTTTGTTTCCGTCTGGTTCGTGGTTTTGTCCTTCGAGTCCTTCCGCGTTTCGGCTTCTTTCGCCCTTCGCGTGGTTGGGTTTTCTTCGGCTCTCTGCTGCGGTTTGATTGTTTTCGGGTCACGACCTCCTTGTGTTCTCGTTGGCGAAACGTTTGGTTTCTTACCGTTTTGGTACATCATGGTGCTCCTGCATCTTGCTTGTGGCTTGTCTGTACGGGCTACCCGCCAGTGCTTTTGTCACTTTTTATGGTCTCGACGACCCTAACTTCTTCGCGTTGATTGTTGTCGTTATGTCGATAAGGTTGGTTTTCGTCGTCCCGACGGTGTTTTTCTTGCGTTTTAATTCCTTTCTTTGGGTTCCGGCCTGTTGGGGTATTTGTGGCGTTGGCGGCTTTGCTGCAATGTCTTTGTTTCTCTGTGTTCGTAGCCCGTATTTTCCTTTCTCTAACTTGTTCTTAGTTGGGTCAAGCGATGGTCTTGCGACTCATCGTGTGAGAGGTGTGGGAGGGTGAATTTTGGTACTTTGGAGCTCCGCATCCTCGATCCTTTCATATTAGGATTCGACAATTAATTGTCAAGTTCCGAGATTTCAAGTATGTGCGTATGAGAACCTCCAGGTGGGCTAGTGCAATGGGAATTGAGTTGAATTAGCAAGTGTCAACGGTTTTGTGGAGTAATTCCCTGAGGAAAAGTGCGGGAGATGCAACTGCCGACTGAAGGATAAAACAGGGGACAGGACCTTTGTGGCCCCTTGTTGAGGGAACGTGTCCACCTCCTCTCTCTGTGCTCAGCCTTCCTTTGAGAGCAAGGCAACAGCAAGCACTGCTGTTCCAAGAGATTAACAAACATGTGAGGTCTTCAGGGATCGCTACTGCTGTACGCGTGTAATCCCACAACGTGATGTAGCAAGCATCAACGGAGTAAAACCGCTCCGCGGAGCGTTTTATTTTCTTTTCAAGTTCCACGGAGCGGAGGGGAGCGTTTTTTTTGTGGCAATATCACGGAGCGGTGCGGAGAGCTTTATCCGAGGGAAAAATTCTCACGGAGTGGAGCGGTCTTTCCACACATGTTACGTTTATTTCACGGAGCAGTTTTGTTTACTCTGTGGCATAAACCGCGCGAAACCGCGGCCTTGAGGACGGTGCACCGTCAGAAAAAACGTCGAAACCACACGGGTATCCGTACAAAGGAGTACCCGCAAATTCGTGAAGAACATTGAGTTTGGTACACCGAAAATTGACGCACGGTGTGCGGTGCTTGGAGGCCGCCAGTGACACCGTACGCGTCCTTGCCGGCAGGATAGCCCACACACACCAAAAAGTTGTCAATTAATCAACTAATCAATTATATAGAAAGGAGCCGTTCCCCACATCAATACCTCCTCGACTCATGTTCGTTTGTGGTACTTGGATAGTGAGACCGATCTGTGCGTCCTCTGTGGGGGATAATCGTAGTATGTATGATGGGTATGTATGCGGTTGGGGTCCGAGCACGGCCCCCCCGGGAGAGCGCATGCCGGTGTGCTCCGGTCACTCGCCTGAGCGCTCCATGTTGTAGGTAGTTGGTGTGTGTTATTATTACTAGCATCGACCGCGCTCTCCGGCTGACCAATGATAAGACATCAGCCTGAGTGCGGTTGAAAACACAAAACACTTCTGAGTGCCATTAACTGGGACCCCGTGAATGGGCGGCATGGGGGAGATTAATCTAATCTTCGGATCAAAGACAGAAACCGTAGCAACAAACGAAAACTGCACACCGGTGTGTGTGTGTGTGTGTGACCCGCTTGCCTGTGGGGCTTTGCACGCGTGATATAGTACATGGGTCCTTTCATCATCTACCGTTCCTGGGATGACTTGTAGTACCCAGTCTCAACACCAACCGGTGCTGAGGGCGGTAGCGCCACAAACACTGAAGGCGAAAGGGCCACGAACAACTCATACGCATTCCTGCAACACGTACAGAGGGCAGATGGTTCCTCACTTGCCTCTCGTTCAAACTTGCCAGCACTATGTAGTACTTTCGTGACACCAGGCGTCTCTTGTATTCAATCAACCAAACACGCACCTATTTTACTCAGACTCCGTCAGATTCGACCTCGACAACCACTTGCTCTTCCGCACGAGCGGCTTGGACAGATGCAGGAGGAGCTTTTGCCTTCTAACAGACTGCGCTGCAAGCAGCTTCCTCAGCTCATTGTCCAAATACCGTGACTTCGCGGGAAAAAAACTTGATTCCGTGGGAAAACCGTGACTCCATTGATCGCGGTTTTATCCACGGTTGTGTGGCGGAGTATAGCTCAAACCGCTCCGTGAAAAACTGTTTGTTGTACGGATTTTTTGGGAATCCTCACGGAGCGGAGCGAGGGGGGGGTGTACTCATAGTCGTGCATGCCGTAGTCGTTAGACCATTGACCTCAAACGCCGGGGGGGGCGGCTTGTTTTACAACGTCGTTGCCAAGCGACGAAAACCCAACCCCGATGGCAAACACCGGGGGGGGCGGGGGCGGCAGGTTTTACAACGTCGTTGCCAAGCGACGAAAACCCAATCCCGATGGCAAACACCGGGGGGGGCGGCTTGTTTTACAACGTCGTTGCCAAGCGACGAAAACTCAACCCCGATGGCAAACACCGGGGGGGGGGCGGGGAGCGGAGCGGGGGCGGTTTATTCGAGGGCAAAGTTCTCACGGAGTCGCGGTTTTTTTGTTCATGTCACGGAGCGGAGCTGTTCAAACCCCTTTACTCCGTGGAAAAAAACCGCTCCATGATCAACCCTGGGTTGTTCGATATTTCACATTTGTTTGCAGAATAGAAAAAAATATTTGAGGTGGTGGTGGGGCAAGCAACCATGTATGCGTATATTGCATCATACGTATGTGGTTTGTACGAATGTACAGTAGTGGTCCCGATAAAGTGGCATGCAGGGGCAAAAATTAATCATGCCACTATTCAGGGCAATCAATAAGCTATTCGATACTGTGGCAATAATAGTCATTAGTGGCATTATTTCCACTG